TATGACTAGCTGCTGCTTTTACAGCTATCTTCCTAATCTTAGTCCACTCCACACAAATGTATTTTTGTTGGGAAAAGGATATGTTGTTTGCTGAGGAGTGGACTGGGTCTCGAGCAGTCTTTGGCATGTTTACCCATGAAAAGTGGACATTTTTCCAAAGAATGCTTTGGGAGGGAGAAGAGATGCATATATCCTCTGTCATCCAATGCTATAGCAGCTCTCTGGTTGAGAAGTGTTTGATATCTTTCCTCTGGGACTTAACAGCCCCTGGGTTAGTGGGTTAAGCGGGAGGGGAGGAGAAAAAGTCACTGAAGTATAATATTAGAACTTTGCCCCAGACTGTTGGAATGCCCTTTTGCAGTGCTTCCAAGCCCTGGAGCTGGAGGTCTGAATGGTGATCCTGTATGTGCAAGCATAGCTGTTTGCTGCTGTTGGACCAAGTAGGCTTGTGGGTGCTGTGAATCAATAGTTTCTTAAACAGTTTTGAGAAAGGTGTTTTAAATGCCACCTTCCTTTTCTTGGACCCATTTGAGATCAGTGGAAAAGAAAAAAAAAAAGTATAACTTGCATGCCATGCCTTGCAGCACTGCTAGTTATAGGGAATAAGAAAGGCATTTACAGATACCTGATGGGGAGGGAAAGGAGCATTAGAGTGCAAGTAGGTCTCTTAATTAAATGAGGGGGGTGAAAATGTTGTCTCTGGAATGGCTGAGATACTAAAGTCCTTTTTTAAATCTGTCTTGAACATGAAAAATAAAGAAAAGAAGTTTGGACAATTAGGAAGTGAGGAAGACCCAGTAATAACTATTACTAAAGAGCAGGTAAGGGAATACTTCGAAAAGCTTGAATGTATTCAATCAGCCGACCTAGATAAAATGCATCCTAGAGAGCTATTTAACAAACATATTATTCTAGTTACATTTTTTTCCTAAAAACTCTGTAGGAATTGGGGAGGTTCCAAAGACTGGTAAAACAGTAGTGTAATTCCCATTTTCACAGAAGGAATTGCTGAGCTTGATGCTTTATTTTTCCATTGGTTTGATTTCCCCACTTAAACTAATCAAACAGATATTGAGAGCTGTTGAATTCTAAAGCGTAGTACAATTATGGGTTGTGAGTGCCCATGTAAGGATGTGTTAACAAATAAATCATGTCAAACAGGTTTGTTTGCTTTTTTGGCTAATTGACAGAATGTATAGTAGACGAAGGCAAGGTAGCTGATATGTTTAGGTTTTATTAAACATTTGATGCAGTGTCTCCAATTCCTGTGTTCCAGACTAAATCAAGCTTTCATTTAAAACAACCCTTAAGTCATCCTCTTGTGGCTGTAGAGAGGAAGCATGTTCTGTATTTAAGGAGCTCTAGGGTTTTTAAGGTCTCTGAAAGCATCCCTTTAGTTCTGAGAAGTAGGTAAACATCTCTTGAATATACTTGATAACTGTTTCATTCTTAACAATCAGCTTGGGTCATACTGCAAGACTGTGACTTGGGAATTGTGCCTGTTTAATTCTGCACTTGCCAGCATGTAGAATTGATGAAACAGATGATCTGTAGCAATGATTCTTAACTTCAGAGCAGCAGGCCAGGTGTTTGCAACCTGGCTGCGATGTGAGCTACTGGTTGTGTAAGTGGGGAGGGAAGTAGCTGCCAACCTGAGAAAGAGAGAAGGTGGAGTGAGAAAAGAAGAGGGCTTACCACTGATAAGTAGTACCTGCAGGGGGTGGGGAGAAAAGGAGGGAGAGGGTAAGCAGGGAGGGCTGCGTGTACATTAGACCGTGCTTTGAAACAAGAATATTAGCAGATATTAAATTTTTGATGATGCAAAGTAACGAATACCCAGGATTTGAAGTTAGCATTTTTGTTTAACAGTCAGTAATTAAAGGAGTTCTTGGGCAGAAAGTTGCTGCTTGTAGCCTCAGAGGATGCTGCAAAAGAAACTGAAGTAGAGTAGAAAGATTGCAGGAGGAGTCATACTAGTAGTTGCCATGTATATAGGAACTGCTGCTGTTGCACAGCAAACTGTCAGGCAGTCTTAGAGGGCACACCCTAAAGAGCTTGTAGTATTGAGCAGGAAAGAATGGGATGAAACCAACACAGTGCTTTTCGCATAAAGAAGTGTTACTTGAATTCCACTGACAGTCATTGGATGATTCTAGTACATAAAAAAATGCACCAGGTGCTGTTTGCTTTTTATTTAGTATGGGGTAATCTTTTTCTCTGATGGGGCAGTAATTAGGCAGATGTCTCTTTAAGCTGCATTATACTGCATGTTTCCTGAAAAGAATGAGTCTGCCATCAAGTGTACATTTATGATTGTTTTTAGTTATGAAGTTTATAGTTATGGTTTACTTTCTACTTCAGATCCTCTAAAGATCGATCTTCAAGAGAAAAGTCACGAGACAGAGAGAAGAAAGAGAAGAGCTCTTCTGAGAGACGGCACGAGAGCACAAATGGCAAATCTCGTTCCAAGAGATCAGAAGAGAGAGAAGCTGGCGAGATCTGAACTCAAACGATCTGTGTTGCACTGTAAATAGTCTGATGAAACATTCTACACAAAGCCTAAATTTCCCATTTATATTTACTGAATACAACTCATCTTTTGTAGTTTTGAATTTTTATTGTTTGGCAGATAGCTGTGAGTTTGTAGGGATACAAAGTTATGTACTGTTTAACAGGATTTGTTTTAGTAGGAATAAATAAATCTGATGGATCATTTTCAACATGGGCCAGTGATTTTACACACTGTATGTTTGTCACAAACTAATGAATGCAGCGGTTAGAGCTAGTCCTGTGGTTGGAAACACAACCTGCTGTAATATTTGTAACACTTGTGCCCTTTCAGAACATCCACTTTGACCCCTTGCACCACTGGAGTTTGAAATCAGTAGCACTGCTAACTGAATTCATTTTTCTTCAATTTGTACATGTTCAAAGGAATTTGGGATTTCTTTTATTTTTTAAGTGTTTAGCAAGCTCACTTCATGTTTTCAGGATCTGAAAGAATCCCTTGCTATTCCAGTTAGAGACAAATGAAATGGGCCCCTGATCTCTCTCTTAAAAGCTACTGTTAATCTTTATGAAGATGGCTTACGCATCTGGGGCACTTTGTCAAGATACATTCACTCCTAGTGATGATATAGGTACCTAGTATAAAAAGCCTGTGTTTGAATGAGTTATTTAGATTGGTCTCTTGTAACTGAGTTCAACAATGAGGATTTTCAGAACTTGTCTATTAACCTGTTCACTATGATCAGATTATAACTTCCTAGATCTGGTTTTGCGAGTTGTGAAAATTTGTAGGTGTAAGTCATTAGGGACCAGTCAAAAAGATTGTTTGCTTGTTGGAGGCAGGCTTCTAATCAAGATGGAGCAGAATTCTGCTTTCACATACGTCTTAAGGATAGTTGCTTGTATGGATTGCAGTGTATGTGAACTTCTGCTGAACTCTTCTCAATGCTTTCAGCTGCCAGTGAAATAAATCTGGTGTATAGTAATAAAGCGGGGGGGGGGGACTTAAACAAGCATAATTGTTTATTTTTTAAATTAAGGACAAAAACTTCCTGTTCTAGCCACAGTGGTGACCCTGAGACTTTGCACAGAACAGTGTAGCTGAAGCAGTTTATAACACATGTTGAATTTGAGCTGATGAAGTGGAATTCTAGCCACTGCTGTACAGTTTTGACCTACCAGCCAGCCTGTTCATTAGTTCATTCAGGCAGGTATCTTAAATTAAGACAATTAATCTTAATATTTTCACTCAGTGGAAACGCAAGGCATTTGTAAATAAAACTGTAGCAGTACATCTAGTGTGTCAGGGTTTTCTGGCTTTTTTTTTTTTTTAGATTAACTTTTTCCCTCCCCCCTTTAACTTGGGACTTTTTTTTTATTATTTGCAAAGGTACAGGAGCTGTC